GTTTGTGTATTTTAACATGTTTAATTGAATAAATTTAGTGTCTTGCAACCATATCTGGTTGAAATACCGGTTCTCGTACGACCACTGAAGTTAAGCAACGTCAACCCTGGCCAGGTGGGTGACCACTTGGGAATTCCAGGTGCTGTAAGCTTCGATATTCAAGTAGTCAAATGAGTAACGGAATTGGAAATCAGTAAAAATAGTTTGTGATAATCATCTATCTATCGATCGATCTATCTGTCTATCTATCTGGATAGTGTGAAGATAGTATTCCAAATACTGCATGAAGATTTCACTGCTCGCATGACGTACAGACTTATATCTACAAACGTTCTATTTCCGAAATGTCAACCACCGCCCCGCAAACTGCATACATTCTTAACATCACCCGGCATACATAATTCACTAACTCAGCAAGGGAATATCACCTGCAGTAAACCCCAAGTCTGTAGACACATCATCACTATTAGCAATTTTTCCTCCCCCGGTATACGAAACAATATTCAAACCACCGGCTCTGATTTGTGACAGTTTAAATGTAAAAAGGTAATTATCTTCATAAAACAGGCATGGAATTCCGTCTTCGGTTCAATAACCATTAAAAAAAAAAAAAAAAAAATCAATGAAAACAACAAACTCCTGTCGCTGCACACTTCAACCAAACGTTCACTAGCATTGATGACATCAGATGCGTTCTTTTAGCCTTCATTTAAAAGCCGAAAAGAAAGACGCAGATCGGAGTTGAAATATGTTTTCTAAATAAAATCTCAAATTGAGGGATTAAACGGGGATTTGGGTTTACACAGAGAATACAATTTCCATAAAGAACCCTCTAACCAACAACAAAATTCCTCGGAAGACTAAGTCCCACTTTTTTATTTATTCCTCGACTCGTTGAAAAAGGACACTGACATGTCCGAAAATTCCGAGTCAATGGTTAATATATAATAAATATAATTAATCTTATTGCCAATATTTTTTATCATTTTCTTAGCTTTTTATTCCTCAACTTTTATTAACCGGCCTATTAAATTCATTAGTCTAAACACATTAAGTTTATTTTTAATTTTAAATTACCAGCTTCTCTCGCTCGTACGAATGTGTTGTCGCATCAAGGTAAACATAAAATTAGCCTGATTAAGCCCTAAAGGACGAAAAAAAAACGTCGCATGAAAACGTTTCCACTTTGTTATATAGATTTCTCCTAAAATTATTGTTGATATATAAAAAAAAATAATTTTTTATTTAGTCTTTCCAGGGTTCATACATTTTTCCGTTTGGTGGAAGTGAGGGTGTACAAAAGCTGTCCATATCGTCTCTTGTTTCAAGTGCTTTCGGTCACTTCATTAACCATTTTCAAGGTGGTTTTGTTTTGGTGTTGTTAGTTTCTTTTTATGTTTTTACTGTTTGGGATGTATTATTTGTGTGGTTTTGAATACTAGTAGGAGCGTTTATTCTGAGTCTTTGGTTGTTAAACACGGCTGAAATTCAAGTGAAATACTTTCCATTTTTAAATGGTTGGTTGCAAGATGGGGTGAAGTGTTTGATATACAGGGCCTCTCTTATATATATATATATATATATATATATATATATATATATATATATATATATATATATATATATATATATAAGTTTCATTTAAATTGACATATTTTTTTATTATATTTCTATTTGATCTGTACAAGTGATTAAGCGGCGGTTTGAATAAATATATACATTTTTTTTCATATACATATATACATAGAGATGGGAATATTTTTTTTAATTTCCGAACATGATCAACACGTTTATATTATTGAGAGTAGGCTTCAATTATTGCATTATTAAGGCTCCCATATTTTTTAGTCATTTTTTTCTGCATATCAATCCGTTATGTGCCAATCGTGATACAAGCTTAGGCGATCATGTATTTTTCCATACATGACTGACGAGGCAGATTTTTTCCCGCAGTAGGTTGCTATTTTTTTCTACGGTAGACCAGCTGCCATCTAAGGATACAGAACCCGGTCTGTCCTGCTATTTACCCATATCTGAGGGAAGAAGAAGAGGATTAACACCTTTCCCAAGAGTATTAGCACGTAAGTAAATGCAATGGATTCGACTGGAATTCGAACTCGGCTCTCCAATTCCTCCGCTCTCCATTACTCCACTTTTTTGCATGTAGATGAGTCTATTATCGTCGTATTTTCCACAAGTATGTTGCAGACAGAAGTTGGCAGGATTCTTTTTTTTTTTTTAAATGAGTCTTAATGGAGCTATGATCCAAGTAAGTCTTCTCAATACTTTGCATCTCTTGAATATATATATATATATATATATATTATAATATATATAAAAATAAAAAATATTTAAAAATTAAAATCTTCAGACACACTGGGTTGTAGATTGATATTCTTTCGTTTCTATTATTATTATTTCATTTAGATTCCTCGACTAGTTCCGGCCAACATGGCCATCATCATCAGAAAAAAAAATCTGCTTGCTGATAGTAGTGAACTACAGACATGAATGTCTTGATGGACAATATATATATATATATATATATATATATTCAAAGATGATATTTCTGTTTTATGTTTTATTATATTTTTCAAGTTTGCATATAAGCTGTCGTATATCCAGATTAAATCTGTAGATATGATGTAGCTGTATATCTTACAAGCAAACTGGGAAAATACGTAATAAAAAGATTCAATAAAACTCCCTTGAATGAATTCTTGCTTCCTTAATACACATTGTGCGTGTGTGACCTCGGAATAGAAAGAAAATGCTGTTCTCAAAATGCATTAAGCCCTTTTAAAAGTATGTCAAGGAGACACACATCCGATATAAACACGCATGCATAAACCTGGAGAATGTCAATCACAAAAGAAAATACAATTCTCGAGTTTTACAAAGACGTACTTCTCCAGAGTGGGAGATGTTGGCAACTAACAAGTTTTAAAGACAATAGAAAACAAAAAGAACACATATAATCAGAAAGATACAAGATAATGAGAAAAGAAGGCTTGGAGAATCTGACACTCATAGAATATATTGAAAACAAAGAAACAAATACCTAACGGGGTTGAGATTATCGATGGTAAAACAGGGAGTAGGGAGGAGAGTAAGGTGAAAAACATTGTTTGGAATGAAAAAGGAGAGTAAGTAGTGGACAACTAGGTTCGTCAACATCCTGAAGAGAGACGGTGCCTAAAAGAAAAAAAGATTATCTTTATTCGTAAAAAATATACATCTTTATCTCTATCTCTATATATATATATATATATATATATATATATATATATATATATATTAAGGAAATATAAAAGGTAAAACAAGCTTTACTGTTCATGATAAAAAAAAAACAAAAAAAAAGAACAGCCGACTGATTTCGTCCTCACCCAACAGAGCTGGAATCGAGGAAATAAATATTACAATATAAAATATGAAATGAGGGCGAAACCAGTCGGGTGATTTTTTAAATCATAAAGGGTAAAGCTTGTCTTTTTTTCTTTTTTTCTATCAAAAAGTTCTGTACCCTAAAGAAGAATTATATATATATATATATATATATATATATATATATATATATATATAATTAGTAAAGAACGATTTCTTTTAAAAAATAATGCATGGAAAAAATACAAATTCTCCAAAAAAGAAAGTCCTACATTGTTTTTCATTTTTTGTCTCGTTGGGAAAAGAATACAGGCGTTATGAAAATTTGATTTAAAAAAATATTTCTCATACATGTTTCCATTTAGTCAAAAGCCTAATAATATATTTAGTCAAAAGCCTAATAATATATAATAAATGCTATTTTGTGATAACTTATTATTATTTTTCCATTGATTTTTTTTTCAACGAACTACACACACACACACACACACACAACATTAATATATATATATATATATATATATATATATATATATATAAATAGATTAAGAAGATAGAATTCAGTTATTAATGGATATGAGTTTGTAATATTGATTACACGCTTTTGTGATCATCAACAAACAAAAAAAAACGTGAAACCGAATATTTTTAAAAATATCCATACAACTGAATAATCAGCTCTATCAATGATTTTGATAAACTTTCAATCTGATTTTTAATATCACTTTAAATGTTATTTTAGTGGATACTCATATTTGAGTAGACGTTTCGTTTTTTTTTTAAACAATAAATATATACATATTTCTTTTCGTCTAAGGCCTTCAATGGTTGACAAATATATATATATCTATTAGAGATTGCTTTGATGCGTGAAGTCTTGTTTTCTTGGATTAACCTTTTAAAATTTAAACGGATTTGTGTTATGGGACAGGGAACAACGACAAAGAAATTCGAGTCTTGGTGAAGTGAAGACCGTGTTAGGGAAAAAAGTGAAACAAATAAAAAAGTGACATACGACCAGTGGACCATAACAAGAAATCATTCCAAAAAACAAAATAAAATTACCATTTTAAATTTTTCTTTGGGTCAAGATTCATTTTTACAGGAAGATTTGTTATATTCTGAAATATATTAATTAATAGATTATATTTAATAATAATAATAATGGGAAGAAGAAGATGATGGTGAATAGGATAATGAGAAGTAAAATGAAGAAGATGAGGATAAAGAAGAAGGAAAAAAAAAAATCAAATAATAATAATAATAATAATAATAATAATAAAAATGAAGAGAATGATGGTGAATAGGATGGAGAAGTAGAAAATGAAGAAGATGAGGATAAAGAAGAAGGAAAAGGCATAGGGGAATAATAATAATAAAAATAATAATAACTTTAGATAAGAAAGAAAGAAAAAAAAGGAAGAAAAAAACGAAAGAAAGAAATAAAGAAAGAAAAAAAAAAGAAAAAAGAAAAAAAAAAAAAGAAAAAAAGCAAATTGAAATAAAGAAAGAAAGAAAGAAAGAATCAAAGATAAACTCTAGTTGTCCGCGGCTGCATTTTGGGGAGGGAGAGGAAAGAACGAAAAGCCTAAAAAAGTGACTAAAGTTGGTTTGTAGAAATGCAGTAGTGGGTGTTGTTGATGGCAGGAAGTGAATCGTCGTTGTTGACGCTTGTGGGTGGATGTCACACGCGAGATGTATTAATTGTCATAATTAAGAAATTGTGCATCATTTCAAAGGCGACAACAAGGATATTTGCACCGTGTTAAGTTCAACAATAATTTTCAAATCTAACTCATCATAGAACAAAAGGGATGCAGAAGAGGTTCATATGGCTGCAAAGATCAACTTTTGATAAATAAAATGATCCTGGAAAAAAATTGTAGGAGACGACGCAGGAATCTAAGTGCAGCGTGGATTGATTATCGTAAAGCCTTTGATAGTGTTCCACATTCTTGGATCCTTAAGACTTTGAAATGTACAAAGTCTCCCCTGTGGTATTAAATTTTTTAAGCACAGCATGGGAATGTGGAACACCAAACTATACCTTTAGTCACACCAGGGGCACTGCCATATCCAACCGTCTGAATATCCGACGTGGAATCTTTCAAGGAGATTCTCTGTCACCCCTTCTGTTTTGTTTATCCTTAATCCCTCTTACACATGAACTGAACAACAGTAGCTATGGTTACAAAATAAATAAAAAAATATTCAATCACCTACTCTACATGGATGATCTCAAACTCTTTGCCAAAGACGACAATGAGTTGAAAGGCCTCCTCAATATTGTAAAATACTTCAGTGACGACATAGGTATGGACTTCGGATTAGATAAATGTGCAAAAGTAACTTTCAAGAAAGGTAGAATTACAGAAACACCCTTAATAGATTTAGATTTTGTCACAAAGATTAGGGAACTGGAGCATGATGAAGCTTATAAGTACCTAGGAATTAGCGAAGGAGATGGCATACAACACCCCCCCAAATGAAAAAAAAAATAAGAAAAGAGTACTACAGGCGTGTACGTCTGGTACTAAATACTGAGCTAAACTCAAAAAAACGGAGAATATCAGCCATAAACACATTGGCTGTCCCTGTGGTGCAATATAGCTTTAATATCCTTAACTGGACCATAGCTGAAATTAAGCGAATGGACGCCAAAAAGAGAAAGCTTCTCACTTGCTATCGCATGCATCATCCCAAAGCTGATGTTTATCGTCTGTATGTGCCCAGATCCGAAGGAGGCAGAGGATTAGTTCAACTAGAACTGTCCTACAAAAACTACAACAATTGGCCTCCAAAGATATTTGGAAACTACAGAAGACTGGATGATGGTATGCGTCAAGGAACATGAAAGTAGTAAGCGTCTTTACTCCGTAATGAAAGAAGCCAACAAATTCAAAATGGAGTTTCAAATGGGCGTAGAGATGCAACTACAGCACAATACACCGGCTGAAACTGCAAAATACCTAAAAAAAACAGCAAAGACGAATGCAACCGACCAGATACAGAAGCGATGGCAAAATAAACCGCTTCATGGCCAATACTCTGCCCGTACCAAACAAGCTGACGTAGACAGGCTCCGTACCCCTCTGTGGCTACGTAGTGCAGAGTTGAAAGCTGAAACTAAGGGTTTTGTCCTTGCTGCACAGAACCAGTGCTTGTTAAACAGAAATTATCAAGCACACATACTAAAATATTGTGTTAGCCCAAAATGCAGGTTCTGTGATAAATATCCAGAAACGATTGACCATCTTGTATCAGGTTGCACGGTGTTGGCACCCACTGAATATAAAACCCGACATGACAGAGTGGGCCAATATCTGCACTGGAAAATCTACAACTACGATAAGGAAACTGAAAGAAACTGGTATGAACACCACGCAGACCCGGTTACGGAGATAGGACCTGTTATAATTTTATGGGACTACACAATACACACTGACAGAACAATCAAAGCCAACCGCCCAGATATTGTTATTAAAGACCACAAACAAAAAAAAAGTGCCTCCTTATTGATATGGCAGTCCCTGCTGACTGCAATGTATCTTTGAAGATATTCAAAAAGCTGTCAAAATACAAGGACCTTGAAATAGAAATCTCGAAAATGTGGCATATGGGAACATCAACAATCCCTGTTGTAGTTGGAGCCCTAGGACTGGTTGGAAAAGATTGCAGTAGACTAATTGAAGGGATTCCTGGAAGTCCATGCCTCAAGGAGATACAAAAAATTGTTCTGACAAGTACAGCCCACACTTTACGAAGGGCTTTATCTATGTAATTTAATTTTTTTTTTTTTTTTTTTTTGTCAGTGGAAAGTGTCATGATGCCATTTCTAACCTTAGGTCCCTGGGCGGGACCCGGAAAGAAATGTGTAAACGCCAGAAATCAAAAAATAAAATAATAATAATAATAATAATAATAAAATAATAATAATAATAATAAAAAAAAAGAAAAATAATAAAAATAATAAACATATCATAAAGAAGAGAAAACCAGGTTCAAGAAAAGAAGAAAAATTTGAATCTGCAGCTCAGGAGGAAAAAAAAAAAATAATAATAATAAAATAAAAATAATAAGGATGGAACTAATAAAAATGCAGGATCTGCGAAAATATGATGAATAATATCCATAATATCAGGATGTATAGGAAAAAAAAGAAATAAAGAATACCCCAGACTTAAAATTTTCATAAAATAATTTCATTTTTTAGTTAATAATTTAAGAAAAGAAACTGAAGAATGGTAACCAACCAACAAAAGTCAAAATAATGATGTAAAATCCTTTAGTGAGATGCCAATTCAATTTTAAGAGAAAAAAAAAAAAATATTAATAAAAAAAAAGAAATTCTGGAAAAAAATTAAAAAGTAATAATATCTGAGAGAAACAGGGGAAAAAAATTATCAAGAAACTGTAAAAAACAAGGACGAATGAGAGATAAAAACAAACAAGATTTTAATAAGAAAATAGAGACTTTTTTAAAAAAAATCAGAATTAAAAAAAAATATTTTTTTAAATAAAAATTTAATATCAAAATAATAATAACAATGATAGATTTTAATTCATTTAAACCAAACAAATAAATCTTTGCTGGAAAAATAAAATTTTGAAAATAAATTAATTGATTAAAAGAATAAAAAGTTTAAAAATTAATTATTAAAAATATTAAAATATATAAAAATAATAATAAGAAAATATAATTTGAAAAATTAAAAAAATAATTTTGAAATCTTTGAATGAAATAAAGAAAAAAATAAAAAAAAATAAACTTAAACAAATAATAAAAAAATAATCAAAAAAAAAAAAAAAAATTTTAATACCAAAAAATTGAAAAAAAAAGAAGAAGATTTAATAAAATAAAAAAAATCAGATGAAAAAAAAAATAATAAAAAAAATGAAAAAAAATTTTAATGGAAAAGAATAAAAAAAAAAAAAAAAAAAATAATTTGAAATAATTTTGAAATTGTTTTTGATAGAGGAGGAAATGATAAAAAATCATTGAAATCTATTTTGAAAAAATTTTGGTTAGAGAATGAAAGGAATTTAAATTACTTATATTCCAAAATCCTTCCATCTAAAAAAAGTTTAAACAAATGGGATTACAACGAGAATGACGTGTTTTAAGAAGCTCTTCCAAACGTACGTTTTTTTTTTTTTTTTTTTTTACGCATATGAAATTTTGTTATTTTTACTATTTTAACGTAAGCATGAATTTTCCTTATTATTATTATTATTTAATTTATTTGTTTCTCCTTTAAATGATACTGATAGATTAATCAATTATTTATTTAATTTTTCTTATTCATATATCCCTCAGTTTTCAATAATAAAAAAAAAAAAAAAAAACATGACAGGTAAAAAAACAATACAATTTCTACGATATTCTTTCTTGGAAGGATTGCGTATTTTTTTCAATAGCGCTATTTTCAACGACTTTGAAAAACAACGGGATTTACAGATGGGCCAATAAATTATTCTTAAATTTCACAGCAAAGATAAACGAATGTAAACTTTTAATTTTTTTTTTTATGACAATTTTTTTTGTTACTAGGACTGATGTGAAAAAAAAAAAAAAAAAAAAAAAAAAAAAAAATTTAATATAAATACTCTCTAGTGTAGTGATGTTTTGTTTCGTTGAGCGGCTGTTTCTTTTTTTTTTTTTTTTTAACGCATATGAAATTTTGTTATTTTTACTATTTTAGCGTAAGTATGCATGATTTTTTCTTCGTATTATTATTATTTAATTTATTTGGTTCTCCTTTAAATAATACTGATAGATTAATCAATTATTTAATTTTTCTCATTCACATATCCCTTAGTTTTCAATATCCACCCCGCAAAAAAAATTACAGGTAAAAACAAAAAAAACGATAGAATTTTACGATTTTTTTTTTTTTTTTTTTTTTTTTTTTTTTTTTTTTTTTTTTTTTTTTTATTTTCAACGACTTTAAAAAATTTTTTACATTTTTTTTTATTTTTTTATGAAAAGAAAATGCAATTTTCTAAGAAGGAATATCGTGGAATTTACAGATGGGCCAATAAATTATTTTTAAATTTCACAGCAAAGACAAACAAAATTTTTTTTTTTTTTTTTTTTTTTTTTTTTTTTTTTTAAACAACGCTATTTTCAACGACTTAAAAAAAATAACGGAATTTACATTTACATATTACATTTTATGAATTTATGAAAAGAAAATGCAATCTTTCTAAGAAGGAATATCGTGGAATTTACAGATGGGCCAATAAATTTTTTTTAAATTTCACACAAACAAAAAGACAAACGAATAAACTTTTTTTTTTTTTTTTTTTTTTTTTTTAACCAGCGTCATTCTCTTTGATTTCCAATCGTGTCTCTGTCTATTGTTGCTTGGCAACCCATTTAGGAGAAGGAAAACTCCGAACAACAACCCGCAACTCAAGGTGTTAATCGTGCCGAGGAGTGAATGGCTACTGCGTTATGAGGTCGCGAACGATCCCCTACAGGCTTCGGAACCCTGTCTGTAAAAAGACCGTTACTCAACGTGCCGGGCAACTTTGGGTGGACTTTTGGACCCGTGCGTCACTCGTGGGATTAATATGAAAATTAAAAATAGAAACAAAACGTCCAGTATGGCTCTTCCAGTGGATAAAAGGGAGCCCGTCCTTCAGGAGGGAACCTACCTGAGGTCGAAAAAAATCTGCCATAGGAACAAACTCCTACACAAAGAATGAATCTTCAGGTCCCCACAACCAGGATAATCCTAATGATGGTCCTGTAAATTCTCCAGCTAGATCCATAACCGTAAATTTAAGGAAAGAAAAAATAAAATGGTCTCGTGAGGAGTACAAAGTTGTTATGACTGCATTCCATGAAGCGTTACTCAAACCTCAGAAAAACATCACTCGCCAAACATATGACATTTGGCGAGAGAAGGTTGGGCAAACAATTAGAAAGTACATAGACAAAAAATAAACTAGCCAATGTAAGAAGGGACATCATGCGAAATAACCGATTGACAGAGGCTGAAATTAATGAAATAAAAAGAATTGCAACAAGAATAGATGAACCAACAAAACATGAAAAGGAACCGGAATCGGGAAAAAAAAAGTAATAACATCACACAAGCCTCAGGTCATAATGAAAAAACCGAAATACACACAAATCACTGTGAAGATAATGCTGAAAATTTAGAAATGTTGGAAAGGTATGATCTTAGTCAGTCACAAGACGGTAATAAAACGAGTTCAAAATTCATCGAACAGAATTATTTCACAGAAAACAAGATTAATATACAAGAAGCCAAGGATGAAATCATGAGCCATATAAGTCAGATACAGAATATTGCAATGGAGGAACGAGAACAACTCCCAAAATTACAACCAACAAAGCATAACCTCAAAACTATTAAGCTCTATAATGCAGCACTCAAATTGATTCTGGATGAAGAAGACACTCATATAAATCTCAATGAAGCAATATATGCATCAGCAATAGCAGCAACAAATAAAAACTGAACATCAAAGTAAAAAAAAGGCAGTCTCACAGACATGAAGATCCACCTTTGAAAAAAAAAAATAGAAAAAAGAAATTGAACACCTTAGAAGTGAATTATCAGTACTCGATGAACTAGCAAGAGGAGTAAATGTAAGAACTAGAAAAGGCAGAAGAGTCGAAAGAAAATACAATATCAGGAATGAAAATGAAGTCCTATCAACTAAAAAAAAAAAATAAAGCAAACAATACAACTGAAGGCTCAAAGAATAAGACGCTACGAGAAAAGATCAAGATTCTATAGACAGAACAAGATCTTTCAAACCGAAAAAAAAAAAAAGAAATTTTACAGGGAAATAGGTAAACAAAGAATTGAAGTGACAGTCCCCCTAAAATGGAAGAAGTTATACAGTTCTGGGGAAAAATATGGGCTTGCCCTAAAGAACACAACGAAGAGGCAGATTGGATTGCGCAAGAGTTAGAACGAATGAAAAATAAACCAGAACAGACATGGGCGGGAATCACAGAAGAAGATGTTAAATGTGCACTGAAAAAAAGCACACAACTGGAAATCTCCAGGAATAGATAAAATTCCTAACTTCTGGCTATATTATTTAAATACAGCACACAAAAAAACTCGCCAAAGAACTTCAAGAAATGGTTACCGATCCAACTAAAATTCCTGCATGGATGACCAAAGGAGTTACCTTTCTTCTACCCAAAAATAGTGACACAAATATTCCGAAAAACTATAGACCAATTACATGTCTTCCAACAACATACAAACTGTTAACATCTATTTTAACAAAACAGACATATTTCTTCTTGGAAAGAAATGACATACTACCACTTGAAAAAAAAGGGTGCAAAACGAGGCTGCTACGGATGTAAAGACCAATTACTTATTAATAGGATGATCCTGGAAAACTGCTTCCGTGAAAAAAAAAAAAATCTTAGTATTGCCTGGATAGATTATCGTAAAGCATTCGATAGTGTACCACATTCCTGGATCTTAAAGTCTTTAAGTATGTACAAGGTATCACCCGTTATCATCAATTTCATCAAACAATGTATGTCGATATGGAAAACTACACTTTACCTCAATCATAAAAATGGAACCTATAAGTCTGGCGAAATAAACATCAATAGAGGAATATTTCAAGGTGACTCTTTGTCTCCTTTATTATTTTGCATATCACTTATAGCATTAACCAGCCAACTTAACAAGACAGAATGCGGTTACAAAATAGCTCAAAAGAAAATAAACCATCTATTTTACATGGATGACTTAAAATTGTATGCTAGGAATGACAATGAGCTGGAAGGTCTTCTGCAAACTGTAAAATGCTTCAGTGAAGACATTGGAATGAAATTCAATTTGGATAAATGTGCTAAAGCTACAGTTTTACGAGGATCGCTACAACAAACTTCCTCTATTAGTTTAGACCCTGCTGTAACAATAAAAGATTTAGAACAAGGAGAAGCTTATAAGTACCTAGGTGTAAATGAGAGTGAAGGAATTCACCATAAGAAAATGAAAGAAATAGTGCGTAAAAAGAGTACTATAGAAGGGTACGACTGGTATTAAAAACTGAATTGAATTCTCAGAACAGAATTATGGCCATTAATAACCTTGCCATCCCAGTGGTCCAATATAGTTTCAACATCTTGAACTGGACTCTAAATGACATCAGACAAATGGATTCTAAAACAAGAAAGCTTCTTTCTAAGTATAAGATGCATCATCCAAAGGCTGATGTAGACCGTCTATACATACCCCGTAAAGAAGGTGGAAGAGGTCTTATTCAGCTAGAATTGTCATACAAGACAACAACTATTGGCTTACTAACTTACATGGAAACAACAAATGACTGGATGATAAAAAAATTAGTGAAACAACATGAAAACAGAAAGAAAAAAAATATTCAATAATAAAAGAAGGCAGTAAATACAAACAACATTTACATTTAGTAGATTCTGTAGTAAATCAAAACAGAAGCCAAGAACCAACTATTGCAGCAAAAGATATGAAAAAAAAGAAAGCCAAGGATAAAGCCCTTGAACAGATGAAACAACGCTGGCAAGACAAACCTCTGCATGGCCAATATCCAGAACGTGCAAATAAACCCAATGTTGATAAAGTTAATACTCATCGATGGTTACGAGCATCTGGATTAAAGTCTGAAACTGAAGGCTTTATTCTTGCAGCGCAAGACCAGAGTCTTTTCACTAGGAATTTTCAGGCAAATATCATACATAATAATGTGGATCCAAAATGCAGGTTCTGTGACAAATACCAAGAAACAATAGACCATCTAATCTCAGGATGTTCTATACTTGCCCCAAATGAATATAAAAATCGTCACGATAGAGTGGGGCAATACTTACACTGGACAATGTGCAAACACTTTGGAAAATGTGTAAGCAAACACTGGTATGAACATCGGCCAGCGCCGGTTACAGAAATAGAAGATGTCACCATTCTATGGGATTATACCATCCACACAGACAGAAAAATTGAAGCAAATAGGCCGGACATTATTGTCAAAAACCAGAAAAAAAAAAACTTGCCTACTAATTGATATGGCTTGTCCAGCGGATTGTAACATAGCAACCAAGGAATTGAAAAAAACTATCAAAATACAAAGACCTGGAAATTGAAATAGAAAAAATGTGGAAATTGAAAACAAGAATAATACCAGTGGTAATAGGTGCACTTGGAATTATAAAAAATGGAACAAAACAACACATTGAAAGAATCCCTGAAACCCCAGCTTAAGAGACATACAGAAAATTGTCTTATTAAGTACAGCACACACACTAAGGAGAACTTTGTCTATGTAACGCTAGCAACTTCATCGGAGATAAAAAAAAAAAAAAAAAAAATTAAAAATGAAATGTGGCCATAACAACACACCACGACCTGCCTTAGGTCTTTCCGCAGACTTGGTAGGTAGTGTGTCCATAGCAGAAATAATAATAATAATAATAATAATAATAATAATAATAATAATAATAATAATAATAAGACGCGGTTGGGATTACAACGAGAATGACGTGTTTTAAGAAGCTCTTCCAAACGTAACGTTTTTTTTTTTTTTTTTTACGCATATGAAATTTTGTTATTTTTACTATTTTAACGTAAGCATGAATTTTCCTTCGTATTATTATTATTTAATTTATTTGTTTCTCCTTTAAATGATACTGATAGATTAATCAATTATTTTTTTTTCTTATTCATATATCCTCAGTTTTCAATATCCCCCCAAAAAAAAAAAAAAAAACATGACAGGTAAAAAACAATACAATTTCTACGATATTCTTTCTTAGAAGGATTGCGTATTTTTTTCAACAGCGCTATTTTAACGACTTTGAAAAATAACGGGATTTACAGATGGGCCAATAAATTATTCTTAAATTTCACAGCAAAGATAAACGAATGTAAACTTTTTTTTTTTTTATGACAATTTTTTTGTTACTAGGACTAGTGAAAAAAAAAAAAAAAAAAAAAAAAAAAATTTAAATATAAATACTCTCTAGTGTAGTGATGTTTTGTTTCGTTGAGCGGCTGTTTCTTCCAAGTTTTTTTTTTTTAACGCATATGAAATTTTGTTATTTTTACTATTTTAGCGTAAGCATGAATTTTTCTTCGTATTATTATTATTTAATTTATTTGGTTCTCCTTTAAATAATACTGATAGATTAATCAATTATTTAATTTTTTCATTCACATATTAGTTTTCAATATCCACCCCGCAAAAAACATTACAGGTAAAAACAATACAATTTCTACGATGTTCTTTCTTAGAAGGATTGCATTTTTTTTTTTTTTTTTTTTTTAAAAAACGCTATTTTCAACGACTTTTTAAAAAAATAACGGAATTTTTGAAAAATAACATATGAATTCACAAAAACAAAATTTTTTTTTTTTTGAAAAAAAAACAACGAATGGAATTAACGGAATTTTAGAATTTTTTAAGAAAAAAAATATTTTTTTTTTTTTAAAACAATTTTTTTTTTTTTTTTAAGACAAAACAATTTTTTTTAAAGAACAAAATTTTTTTTTTTTTTTTTTTTTTTTTTTTTTTTAAACA